CCCTTGGCACAGATTCCTGCTAGAAGAGTCGTGCTAGCAGCTCAGCTATAGGACCGTACTGCCACATAAGAAAACTCTGTGATAGGACCATGCCACTTAATGCACATTAGGGCTGCCACCGGGCTCCCCAAATCTGTCTCCTGGAGGAATATCTCTGTCACACCTGCAGCAGCACACACCCTGTTTCCCACTTCTTCTCCTTCCATCCTCAGTGGACCAGTGTAACCAGTGATCCCAAAAAGAAGCAGAGCCACGGTGACAGAGAGTAATAATGGAGGGTTTTGCTGAGACTGTGAAAGAAGAATGGAAAAGGACAACCAGCGAGATGTGCCACAGAAAATCTCCAGGACTCTATACAGAAGGGATTCTGGGACACGGGAGAAGCAGAAGTTGATAAGGTGGCTATGCCCCCTGGCATGGTTCATATGGATGGTTTGATGGGACGTGAGTGGAGAGGCAGATGTGTGCTGAGGCTCATCTGCAGCTCAGCTGAGAGGGCAGCTATGGGGGAAACAAACCATGTGTCATCAGCTACTGATACTTAGTAGTAGTAGGTTAAAAAAAAGAAAAAGAAAAAGAAAAAAAGAAAAAGAAAACCAATCCAGAAACAGAGCTCTAAGAACTGAGCTTACAAAGTATAACAAGTGTGGAATTTTCCATTACATGGAAAGAACAACTGCCTCAAAATGAAATGCAGTAGTGTGAACTAGCCAGGGAAGTACAGAACCACAGATTCTAAGGACAGAAAGTCTAGCAACAGGGAGATGGAGCAGACAGGAGTGTTCGGGTGTCCACTGGACTTAGGAAAATGGAGTTGTTTGGTCTGTGCTGGAGGGACAAAGAGAGGTGAATCCAGAGTAGAGCGGGTGAAGGATGAAGCAGGATGTGAGGGACCAGCAATCACTGTGAGACTCTAGCTTCCGGAGAAGGGAGGGCACAGATCACACCATTTTAGAGAAGGATTTGCTGCTGAGGTTTCTAGACATATAATTTAAACAATTGACTTTGCCGGTGTTTTTCTTTTTTAGATTTATCTCAGTGGGTCTCATTTTCCTCAAAGCAGTTTTATATGTAAAATAAGAAAGTCAGGCTGGCTGTTGGTGGCACGTGCCTTAAATCCTAGCACTCAGGAGCCAGAGGCAGGCAGATCTCTGTGAGTTTGAGGCCAGCCTGCTCTACAGAGCAAGTTCCAGGACAGGAAAACCTTGCCTCGAAGGGGGGGGGGGAGTCAGGCACCCACTTATAAAATAGTGTAGTATGTCTTCTTGGCAAGTATATCATACACAATAATCATTTTATTTCCTATACCTTCTTGCCTTTCCCTAATTCCCTACCACCCCTGCCAGTCTTTTTTCTACCTTTTGCCTTCATGTATATGTATGTTTGTGTGTGTATGTGTGTGTGTGTGTGTGTACATATCTGTATTCATTTGTCTGGGTGTGTTTGTATGTATGTGTGTATGTATTTGTACATATTTATTTATGTATATAAAACCTAGGATAGTAAGTGAGAGAATACCTGGCCACTGTCTGCCTGAGGCTGGCTTATTCTATTTAATATGATGATCTCAAATTCCATACATTTTCCTACAAATAACATGATTTTCCTTTTTTCTTTATGGAAAAAAATCCATTTTGAAAATATACCCTATTTTCTTTTTCCATTCAACTGTTAATAGGCAGCCATGCTGATTCCATAGCCTGGATACTTCGGGTAGTGCTGCAGTAAACATGGCTCTGTTATATGTCTTTGTAAAAACAAACAAGAGCAAGTGATTGAGGAAAATGCTTCTGCTTTCAGCCTCTGGAAGCCTTTCCCAACAGGAAGCATTTGTCCATGAGAGATCTCCATATGAATCTCACCACGAGAAAATGACTGGTCTATTTGTTTAATCAAAATGGAAATCTGTATTTCCATCAAATATTCCCCAAATCTACTATACTAAATTTGGCAATAATGCCTACAAACAAAAGTGGCTTCTGCTCTACAGATTTGAACACACATCTTTAATTCTGAAAATATTCATATAACCTAGTCAGAGTTTATGATACTCCACAAATACAAATCCAACTCATTCTGTTCCCATGCAAAATTGCCACAAAGCCTCTGCTAGTGTTCCTGTAGAAGACATTGTTGGTTATCTATACAATATCCATTAGTTTTTCCTTATACAGAATTAGAACCCTGCTGTACCCTAAGGTGGTCAGAAAGCTTGGCTAACAACTGTCCCATCCAAACATTCTTGCAGCTAGTTATGGGCACATGAATATTTCTGGATGATGTACATGGATTAGATGATAGATGTGCACTTGGTCAGATCTCTGCCCCGCCTTCCCTCTTTGCCCTTTGCCTCTTCTCTTCTCCCTTCCTTTTCTCCCTATAGTCCTTTTCTGCCTGTCCCTCTAACACTGAAATAACATGTGCTCTAGCCTACATCTTAGAAAAGTTCTTAAGATACATATTCTCACTATATTAGAGTCTCCCAAAGCTATCAGCAAGAAATCATTGCCCATTAAATAAATACTCTTTTAACTATAAATGTAAATTTTCCCCATTCTCCATGTCAAAGGCCCATTGAGAAGCCAGTCTGTGACCAGAATCCCAGACTGCATCACTCTGTGGCCCACAGCACATCCTGTGACCACATCTTGTCATCTCCATCTGTTTGCATACTCAAGGATACAGCCATGGCTTGTTCATCTATTACTCTACTGGTCCCATGTTTGCCTTACTTCCAGCAGCTTATGTACAGAGGGTTTTTGTTTGTATGGTTTTTTTTTTTTTTTTGGAAGTTTTGTTTGTTTGTTTTGTCTTGGTCTGCTAAATATTATTTAAAAAACACAAACAAATGCATATGATTGTATAAATGTGTGAATGTATGAAGGAGCTCTGATTTTTTCAAGCATAAAACTAAGTTACACTAAAAAAATATACACATTCAAATCAGTTGGAAACTGTAGAGTGTATCTCTCCCTGGTTTGGGAGGGCAAATAAATTGACTAAACTATAACATTAAGCCATCAAGTATTAATGGGCATGTCATTGAATGCATACAAGTTTTTGTATGTGTATTTTAATGAAGCAAGCATGAGGGAAGCTAAAGCATGCCCGAAGTGAGTGCTACATGACTGCGACTGGAACTACTCTCTGCCCTATAAAGTATCTGCTTGGGATGATTTCCAGAGAAGATAGTTTGTTTAAAAGTCTCAGTCGTGTGACCTTCAGCTCAAAAGTCTTAAGACAAGTGTTTAACTGCAAAGGCATAAAATATCGGCATGACTTCTAAAGGTAATGGCATTTTCAACATTAGCATAAGATTTGACCTTTGTGTCCAGTCTTCTGGGATGAGCCACTTGAGCATGTTGGGTTTCTTTTTCCTTCTGCTCGTTGTTCAAAGACATACCTTGAAGCACAAACTTCAAGAATACAGCAGTTCAAAGACAGAAAAGAACCCCTAAGAGGAGGACATCGCAGAGCAAAACTCAATTAAATTTTAACCTTTCAAACTGTAAAAGATGTGGACTTGTTCCATTTCCTCCTTACCCAAATTAAATTGGATCCCCAAAGACACAAATAAAGATGCAAGGAATTCATTGGCACAAACACAATGACTTTCAAGAGCCAGGTTAAATTATGGCACATCTCATTTATTCACTACAGTATAAATATATTCATGTTTCACAAATTGGTATTTATTGATTCAACAACAGAAAAGGCCTTTCATTCATAATGAAATATGTAAGAATAGGGGGAAAGAAAAATCATGAAGTACTAAATTGTAATTTCTTTACCAAAAAAGCATAATTTATAAGATGGATACATGAAAATCAAAACCAATGACATCAAAGCTGCCCATAATGGGATTAATCTTTACTATCAAAGTAACTCAGATATAAATTACATCCAGAAAAGACAGGTTTAATGAAGTCCTGGTATAGAAAAGAAACGGCACAATGAAATGCTTTCTGTTCAGCACAGCTATTCTTACTCAGTGCTAATGTTGACTAAAGCCAAATTCTGCAATGAAATTAATGTGGTACAACATTGAGGATTAGAAAAATATTGTTAGAAAATGTTCAACAGTGTCTGAATGGAAATTCCATTAAGTAGTAGACACATTGATTTTACACATTTTATTAACTGTAAGATGTTATTTATTATTTCAATAGAGCCTATGGGATCTCTATCTTTGAGGGAAGCAATTCTGAGAGTGACATTTTCTAGAGAACTTTTGAAAAAATACTGAAAGCTCCATATCTGTTCCTATGTGTTGTATATGTCCTTCCAAGACTAAGTTTTGCCCATGGCCACTAGCTGCCAACTCAAGTTGTGCATGTTTAAACCAGAGCATATGGTCACAGCCCAGGGATTTGAGAGTCCCTCTTAGAGATGGGGCCTGAGCACATGAGTATCTACCAACCCTCAACAATTCAAAACAATGGGCTTAGAATTTTAAGACAACAATTAGTCATCCAAATTAGCAACACAATCCAGGTTTATTTCCTTCTATAACCATACAAAATTATTCTGTAAGATGATCCTAAGCATGTTATAAATGAAAAATGTCTAGATTGGCAAAAAAGCAGGAAAGCTTCTTTTGTTCAGGTCACACTATATTGTCATTTAGTTTCTGGAGAAGTTTGTGTTTAGACTGTCCGGTGCTTATTCAAAAGTGTGAGAATACAAAAATAATTCATGATAACTGTTTTCTACACAAATGAGTAGGAAAACTCCTACTCAGTTTATTTAAAAGGAAGATGCAGTGTGTAGCTTGGGTAGTCTAGGCTGGCCTTCTTGGCTACTGAACTTCTTAGTTTGGACTCTGTCAGGTCTGGCTGTATTTGTCATAAAGAACCTGTCACCTACCTGAACTGGTAATCAGAGGGAAAAAAATCTCAAGGAGTCTACCTTGGAGAATAGCCTTTCAGTTGACTGTTATTAATAAGCAAAGAATTTCAAGTTAGAAATTGAATGAAAGAATTAATGACTGCCAGAGCATTTCTTTTCAGTCTCCAGCTGTGCCCGTGTCTGGTCTTTGATGAACTGTCATAAAAGACAGGCTTCTTCCTCTAGTACCTAGATATGTGAATGGTACAGAAGATGACCATCAGTGGATGGGGACATCAACAGGAAAGTGTGGACTTTACAGTTGTTCAGTGGCAAAATTAACAAAAACCTGAAAGAACAAATGGAAAAAGTTACTAATTCATAAGAACATTGGACCTTTTGGTATTATTTTTTCAGACACTGCTGTTAGGAGTAAAATTTTCCTGTTGGCCTGGACCCACCGTGGCGCTAGCCCCAAATAACACACACAGACTCTGTATTTGATATTATGCTGTAGACCAGTTACTAGTTTCTTATTGGCTAGCTCTGTCTTAATTATTACCCCAATTCTATTAATCTAAGTACTTTCATGTGGTCTCATCTCACTGGAGAGAGGGGCCGGTGTTCTGCTCTCTCCATCCTCTCCATGTTGACTCCTCCTTACTACCTCCTCTCTCCTTCTTGTCTCCTAGTCCCTCCTATCATCCTTTCCTATTGGCCAACAGTGCTTTATTCATTAACCAATAAGAGAAACATATTTACAGAATGATATCTCCCATCACACTGCTTAACCACCAAAAAAAAAAAAAAAAAAAAAAAAAAAGAATGACAAGAGGCCCAAGAACTCTGCTGTGAGATTATATATTCTAAATATGGAAGGGAAGTAAAGTAACATCCATGAAATCTCAACAATATGGCAGCCTAAATAAGACCTGAATAATGGTAACCCCAAATGATATGATATCTCACATGGCCCGACCCTGAGATGAAGAACTATAGGAAATTAATGACTACTGAGAAAAGAAGAATCAGTCCTGTGCAGAAAGGAGACCCCTGATTGGATATTGGATATCACATGTTCAGCTCTAAAACCATATACATGTAAATAGAACTAAATGGACTCAGCAGAAAGAATTTATATATTTACACCTATGCATATGTAATAATGATTATGCACTCAAAAGGGGACAGTAAGAAGTACATAGGAGTGTTTGGAGGAAAAAAATGAAGGAGGGAAGAATGATGTAATTATATTTTAATTACAAATAAAATAATTTGAAAATACAGACACAGTGCCTCTATACCACCCTAATTCATTGAGCAGTCATCTCCAGGAATGAAGATGAATAAATCACTTGGAAAGTATCAATACCTTGTAGCTTCAATAATTTTTCATTGCCATGCTCTTACTACAAGCCACAAACATGCCCTTGTTTTCCTCTAAGACAGAATCAAATCCATCATTTAGGATTGAGTAAGTTTGAAAAGGAGAGTTTAACAGAAGGGGCTGTCCAGTGCCTTCATGAGCAAATGAAAGCTCAGTACACTGAGTGAAGTGCATCTGAGAGACAAGCCTCCTAACTTTCACCATCTTCACTAGACTTTTGGAAGAATTGAGTACAGCAAATTTTAAAAGAGGTAGTATGCTGAAGAAGCAATCTAATTAATTTTGAGGTCCACTGGATAAGGTCCAATCATGATATCCAAGAGCAGACATTGTGTTGTTGGAGGCAGCATACCTGCTCCAGAGTGGTCTGGCTGATGGAGTAATGCTCGATATTCAGGAGGCTCTTGTTGTTCTCCAGAACCTTGAACAAATCAGCTAAACACTCCCAACTTTTTTGTACATGATATTCCAATAAATTAAGGCGCTGTCCCTAAAAGTCAGAAAATATGAAGTGTCAAGAATAGAAATCATTGAGCAAATTTAATTAGACTACAATGCAATGTAAATCAATTCAAATGTGTTTTTATGGCCACGCATGTGCATGTGAGGACCAGTGACACATGTAGGCTAATTTCAGAAGTCATTAATGAACACTTATTGCTGACTGTTTACCCTGAGGCACACTAGACAAGTGGTGTCCACTTCTATTGAGATTATGCCCTGCCCCACTCTGCCTGGTTGTGTCAGAAGCACTAGAAGAAGCTTCAGTGGCCAGAGGCTGCCTATGGATGCTCCTGAAGGAAGTGGTGAATATGGTATAATGGAAAGATCTGAGGGTTCCCTGAACTTCACAAGCATCATGGCATTCTTAGGCAGCAGCTGTATTCTCCATTAGCTAAGAAACTTTTGGTAAGAAATTTACTCACTCTGATTCTTGTTTGTTTGCATGCTTTCCCATATAGATAGAGACATCTGCTTTTTTTTTTTTTAACTGTGTCTTTTACAATGGTACTGGAACACAAATGATAGTGTCTCATGGGTTATTTCTTAAAATGAATAAAGAATGGCTACTTAATGTCTATTATTTATTAGATGTTGTGATACATAAGAATAGTAGTTACCAAAAAAGTATTACAAACCATGCTTGAGAGATGGTTCAGTGGTTAAGAGCACTTACTGTTCTTCCAAAGGACCTGGGTTCAGTTCCCAGCACCCACATGGGAGTTCACATCAGCTTATTACTCCTGTTACTCCTTTTTCAGAGGATATAATTCCCTCTTCTGGCCTCTGGAAATAGGGGGACTACAGGCACCTTGTACACAGACCTTTACACTGGCAAAACACCCATACACACAAAACATAAATAAATAAGCCTTGAAAAAAGTAACTATAAGCCAAGTGTATTAGCCCACACCTGTAAGCCCATGCATGAGAGCCTGAGGGAGGAGGTTTGGTCCACGTTCAGATCTAACTTTAGTTGGATGGTGTGCTTCAGGTTAGTAAAGCTACATAGCAGAATTATACAAAACATGCAAACAACAAATAAAGAAAAGATGAGGAAGAGCTATACTGAGCATATTCAAAGCTTGAATGTTTAGAAGAACAACCCAATTACCTTGTCAAAAATGCTAATTAAGATTCTGTGGGTTGGAACCTGCCATTCCATGTGCCTAAAGGATCTCACTTATTGAAGATGCTGGCCCATGCATCAAATTTGCTCACATCAACTTCAAAGATTATAGTTCCAATAATAAGGTTCTTTTCATTTAAAAAATGTAGAAATTTCTAAGCATATGTATTGTGAAAATTACCAAACTTATAAACCCTATAGTGAATATGTAGAACAAATTGACTCCTGCAACCCCCAACCAAATCAAATGAGCTACAAAATGGAGCTGAGCAGGTCAAGAAGGGAGCATGAACAATCACAGTCTTCCTTGGGCTATCCAGCAAGTGGCCAAGCAGCCCTGCCATCCCTCAGAGTGGTCTAACAATGTGTGTCATTCATACTAATGTTGTTTGAGACATTGCCAGTAACTCAAAAAGAGGCAAAAAGACAGCAGGTTCTATCTTCTGGCAGTACGGAATCAAACAGAAAAATGACTAATACATGTATAATATGCTTTTGGCTATAAAAGGCAACACAGGCTATTAGGGTTACCTCCCATGTAGCTGTTTGATTCCACTTGAAACATCCCCTCCTGCTTGGAGGATAAACTCATAAGGCAAGAAACTTAGGAAACGCACAAAGCTCAGGAAACAAAAAGTTACAACATACATGAAGGCTTCCCCCAAAGTTATAAAAGTAGAAAAATAATAACAGGAAGGAGGGGATTCTCTCCCCTAGTGCTGCCTTCAAGTGGTGCAGAGAATAACAGGGATGCAATTATCCTGTGGCTGGTTATTTCAGTGATACACTGTCCTTGAGTAATTCACAGTCCTGTAAGTAACCCCAATAAACTCACTGGCTCACTATGTTGGACATGAGGGCTATCCTTCACTGCTTTGTCTTGGATGAATAGAGATCTGTTCTTGAACTCTATGAGAAGTCATGCAACATACCTTAAACTGGATTCCTGGAAAATGGAGCTTCAAGCAGTCAGAAACAGCACTAGCCTGGCTTCCTTCCTTGTGGAGCCAAACTTTGACCGTATAACCATCACCAAACCTGAGTCAGATAAAAACATTGATGACATTACAGATTTTTTTCCACATTAACTTACAGTGATGGTGCTATAAGGCAATTTGTGCAGACATAGAGAACAATGGTAATGACTTTAAATTGCTCGGGATTTTTGACTCTCATAATACACACACACACACACACACACACATATATATGTATATATTATGGAAAAGTTAACTATAAGTACATTGTACAGTTGCTCTCACCTGTTACATTGACAGAGACATCGGTTTAACTTTAAAAACAAATTAGCAGCTCCAGAAATCAGTACATAGTCAATAAAAGAGCTAAGGTGCAAATGCAAATTGTGAAAACAGAGTGCTGAGCTAGAGGAAGTCAGAGGTTGCCCTGGAGACCAGCCTGGGAAGCACATATCTGCCTGCATTTGTTGCTTCAAGGCCTGCAGTTAGGAAAATGTGGCAGGAGAGGATGAAAAGGAATACGTAAGCAACCTAAGGACTTTTTGTCTGTTATGTACAAATATTTTCCAGGTTTAAATCAGACTCGGTGGAGAATCTTTAATAACCAATTGAATCTAACTTGTGTTGCCAATAGAGTCCTGGGTGTGGGGCAGCAACTGGAGCTTGGTCTGCAAGAAAACTGATGTTCCCTCCTCCAGAAGCCAACATTTGTCCATAGGTCCTCATTTAGGGGTGGAGACTCACAAACTCTTTTCCCCTCCCTGATAAAATGTTGGTTGGCTTGGTCTTGTGTGGGGCTTGTAAAGGTTGTTACAGCTACTGTAAGGTCATAAATGTAGTTGTCTGGTCATGGTCAGAAGATGCTGCTTCACTCCAGTATTCCTCCTTCTTATGATGGCTCCTGGGCTTTGGGGAGGTTGATATAGATGGCCCATTTGTGGCATAGCATATCATTGACACATATTCTTGGTACTTTAGTGAGTTGTGCTTTTCTTCATTAATCACTGTCCACTGTACAAAGAATCTTCTCTGGTGAGTCCTGGGTAAAGCACTAATCCATTGGCAGAGAGAGAGACACAATTAGAAGGTAGCTCGATACTGTGCCATTTAGTAGAAGACAAGGAGTCAGCTGGTTCGATATATGCCGTTTAGTAGAATACTAGTAGTCAGTTGCACCCAGAGCCTGTGAGCTCCCTAATCATGGTTTCTTAATCAGAAATTGTAGTACCAGGCACATTTTTTTTTTATCCTTGTGGAGCAGACATTAAACCCAACAAGAATGTAGTTGGTTGGCCTTATAACATCTATGCCATTGTTTGCACCCTTGGGCATATCTTGCTTCGGTGGTCATTATTGTAGTTCACAGCTGGGTAAGTCTGTTGATGATCTTTTGTTCAGCACTTTCTAGTCCTATGAAATCTAGCCAGGAGGGAGGGCATTTCCTGGTCAGCACCAACTGTATTGATCCATAACACATGACCAATGTATATGGTATTTTCAGCAGTAGGGTATGTAGACATCTGAAATCAACTTTGTGGAGTAATTTCTTTCCTTCCATTTTTATGTGGGCTCCAGGGACAAAACTCAGGCTGACAGATTTGTACAGCAAGCACCTTTACCCAATGAGCTATCTTGACAGTCTAATTATTGACATGTCTGTTTTGGGTATTGGTATGTCAATTTCAAGCACTGAATATGGTCTTCAGCAATATCAAGCATATTTTTCAAGCTGAAAAAATAATTAGCTTAAATAATGAAAAAGTGGTATGTCTAATTCTTATGATCACCATTTACTTACAAAGCATCGCTGGAGGAAAATAGACATTTAAGTAAATTTCCCTCAAGAGTAAGTCTAACCAGAGCATGTTCATGCTTCTATACCCTGAATCTATATGATAAGGACAAATGACTTAAGATTATAAGGACCTGTTAGATGGACACAGGTAACCCTTGTGAGCATTCACTGAGACCTGTGTCCAGGGTTCTGTCATCCTGTCTGCTGCTGTGGCTTCAAATATACATTGTTAAAATGATGTGATCCATTTGAAACCACCCAACAGAGTTCTTGCCTGTCTTTTCTCCAAGAATGGAGCAGGTAGACATCTAAGAGTACAAATTGGAGAGGGACTTTGTTGCCAGTTCACGATGGATACTCTTTAGAGGTAAAACGGGTTGTTCTGTGGCCATTCCAGCCATTGCAGTTGTGAAAATAAGGGCAGAATTTTTGGTGGCTATGACAGGAGCAATTCCCTCGGCCTGTAATGAATGGACACTGGCTCCTTGAGCTCCCTGATAGAGAAGAAGCCTGAGGAACAGCAAACTAGAGAATCCTTCTTAGATCTCCAAGATATCCTGTGGAAGTAGCTTCAGGCTGCCATGCTCTGTTGGAGCTGAGAGTTAGGCTCTGAATTATTGGTGTCCTCTTCCAATATAATTCTGAACTCCATGTTGAAAGCATGTTGAAGCCTGAGAATGGCCATATTTGTTGAGGAACGTCTGAGACCGTAATCTCTGGATCTCTAAACACATCTGGCATATGAAGAAAGTTTTAACAAAAAGCTACCATTAGGAGCCAGATGGTGGTGGTACACACCTTCAATCCCAGAACTCAGAACTCAGGAGGTAGAGGCAGGCGGATCTCTGTGAGTTTGAGGCCAGCCTGGTCTACAGAGCTAGTTCCAGGACAGGTTCCAAAGGAATACAGAGAACCCCTGTCTGGAAAAGCCAAAAAAAAAAAAAAAAAGCCATCATTGGTTCCCAATGCTATGGTAGCCTTTGCAGGTTATTGAGCTACTGACCAATGCTTTTCATTTCACGTGTTTGTGCTTGGGGCTCTGACTGTCAAAAGTGAAACATCTATACAGTCAGAATTTTGTTTCTTTAGTGTCTGTTATTACTGTATTGACAGCAGCTACCCTTTTTCCTTAAAGCTTGAGATTTCCACCCATCAGAGAGCTCACAGTGAGTGGGGAGCTTTATATCTGGAAAGCCCCCTACCACTATTGACCACAGCCTCCATCATTTCTGTCTAATGCTTCTCGCTTACACATGGCTAAGATGCCAGAGGGCATTGATAAACACATATGAATCTAAACAAAGATGAACTACCTACAGCTCTTATCCAGCCAACTCTAGAAATCTTACACTGATACAACAGGGCTGTACAGCAGATTCATACCAATGGCTATCCTGCTCCATAGAAGTGGGAGAAAGAAGCTGAACAGCTGATTGAGACTGGCCACCAAGACTGCCTTCACCAAGACTCCAGAAGACATTTCCATGCTTCAAGCAAGAAAGGCATAAGCCTGGATGGTTGAAGGCACTTCCTAAGGTCAAGAGATAGGTTACAGGAGCTTTTAAGCATCTCCACTAAGTAGGTTCCCAGCTGTGACTAGATATTAAGTCCCTGGGGAGGTACACTGAGTGGCAATATGTTACTAGTTACTTTGGTACTGTAATAAGGACCTTGTAACAATGATGTTGGATCCTTACTGCCTGTATTCCTCCTACAGAATAACTGACCTTGGAAAACTGGGTGAAATTTCTAAAGCTCAGCTGTCACATCTAGAGATGAGACTGAGAAGAGGGACTGCCTAATAAGGTTGCTGGGGGACAAAATTAATTCATTCTTGTGAGTCATTTGAACAGGTTTTGGCACTGTGTAAATAAGTAAATAAATAAAGAGTGTAATTTCAGTTCTGTGCAGGATTTCACCAGAATGGAACATCACTCTATTTGTTATTGAGAAACCCACAGTTTATTTGGGAGAGCTCCATGAATGCACACAAGACAATGTGAGCATAGATTATTAGCTGGTGGGTGTAGGGGGCAGTGTGTGGAAAGAAAACATCATGGCCACTTTACTTGCTAATATAGCTACAGCCTTTATGGGCATATTTTGTTAATGCATTTTGAAAAATTTATGCTAAATTAATTTGAAATTACATTTCACTTCAAGTAACACACTTCTTGCATTTTAAGAAAAAAAAGAAAATAGTTCTTAAGAAAAAGAATTTTCAAGATAATATATCACTTTAGTACATAGATTATATTCATGAATTTCTCTAGATTGGTCAGCAATACTTTGTAGACATAAAATTATAAAAGCATGCATATTTAACAGTTAATAAAATCTTTATAAGTCATTAATTTATGACATATCTAATTCAGGTATTTAATTTAGGTTTACTTTCTCATTTCTGCCTCACTGTATCAATGAACTAAATTCCCAAGATTACTTATTTGATTACCAAAATTCTTCAAAGACTAAAAGGTTTCAGCATAGCCAGTGAGTCATGTGGTAGTGTATACACTTACTGATTCAACACTTCAAGATTTTCCAATTTGTACCATCATCTGTGTGGTAGCATTCACATAAACATACGTGAACAGTAACATCTGCAGGCAAAGTTGTATGTAAAAATACTTTGTGATACACCGCTTATTAATTGTAATATGTGTAAGCATACTAAAACAGAAGCACTAATAGCACAGAAACAGAATGGGACACTAAGCACACACACTACAGAGTACTATGAGTGAGCAGGAGCTGACTGAAATGACCACTCAAGTTAATGCCAAAGTCCTGGACTTTTACAGTTCTTCACACTAGACTGTATTTCCAAAACTACCTTTCCCTAAGTTAAAATTAAATTGTTCATGTAAATATGAAAAAATGCTTATCATTATGAGTTATAACATAAAAAATATTAGACTCAGTAGGCCATCAATATAAACATAAAAATTTCCACCAAAATGTTAGAACACTATTAGAACATCCCATGTCTGTTAGTTATTTCTTTACCTACTTCTCAACACTAATATAAAGAACTCATATCACCAACATAATTATAGAGAAATACACATTTTAGAAATGGTTTCTAAAAATACAAAGAAACTTCTGATGTGCCAAGTTCTGGTTTTTAGTATGACTTCTAAATTTACAGGCGTAAAACTTCTAGGGTTAGAAACTAATATTTGAGTTGAAATAGGAAGCATTATAAAAATGTAACATCCTTTTAGCATTCTCCTTAGGCATTTTATACACAATTGCATTCCATC